GAGGTACATTACATTGACGGAGCTGCCCGTGTCAACGTAAGTTCGGTGAATGATGGTGTCGTTTATCTCCGTCCGAATCACCAAGGCATCCCTGTGAGGAGAAGAAGTAGGAGGGAGATCTGCGTTGGTAAAGGTGATGGGTTCCTCCCTCAGTCGCTTTACCGGGGGCATATGAGTGACTTCCCCCACGTAAAGCGATTGAGCCCACTTCTTTCGTTGGCTGGTGGAATCGCCCCCCGTATTGCCACCGGTGATCATGAGGATGTGGCGTTTCTTCTCCTGGTAGTGGGGGTACTCCTCCTCCTCTTCTTCCAAGTTTCCGATCTCCCTCTTCTTGCCGAGGGGGATGGTGTTCGGATTTACCCAGGCATTTACCTTCGTATGGTGCCCTCGGGGAGGTCCCTGATGAGAAGGTCCCTCCTGCCGAGGGCTCTGGACAAACTGGGACAGGTGCCCCGCCTGTATTAATCTCTCGATGGCCGTCTTCAGCTGATGGCAGTCATCGGTCCTGTGCCCCTGGTGCCGATGGAAGCGACAGTAGGGGAACTGAGGGTTGATAGCGTGTACCTCCGGGGGTGCGCGAGAGTCGCGCTCAACGAGGCCCCTCTCCTCGGCAAAATCGAGGATGATGCTGACGGGGTGGTGTCCGAGGGCGGTCCAGGAGAATGGGCTGGGCCCAAGTCTTAGGGTTGCTCTTATAACCTCCCCCGGGCTTGGCTTGGCCTTGCCGAGGGCGGTCATCAGAGGGTCCTGAAGACTTGGGGTGATTTGGAGGATGCCTTGGTGATACTTCTCCACCTCCTCGGCCTCAGCATATCGGTCCCCCCGCTGCAAAGCCCTTATGTAGTCGCGGGGGGGTTCAATGATGAGGCTCCTCGAAAAGTTACCGGTGCGGAGGACGGTTTGTAGGAGGGCCAGGAGGGTCCCGTCATCAGCACCGTCGACCTTGTCGGCCTCCGTCCTCCAGCGCTCCAGGAAATCCTGAAGGGTCTCATCCTTCCTCTGGCGTATTGTTAGGAGGTGGGAGAAGTGTTTCCTTGTGCGACGCCTCCCGGCAAATTGCGTCAAGAACCGCTGGGCGAGTTCTTGCCACGAATCAATACAGCCCTCGGGCAGCCTGTTGAACCATTCGTACGCTGGCCCCTCTAAGGTGGAGAGGAACCAACGACACAAATATTCGTCCGACGCCCCCACCATCATCATGCTGTTATGGTACTTGCTGTAATGTTCCTGGGGGTCCGTTTTTCCGTTGTAGGGCTGTATATGTTGCCCTCGGTATTTTTCCGGGATCCGGGCCGCCAATACCCTTGGAGTAAATGGCGTCCACGTCCGGAGCTGGATGACGGGTTCCCCGGAGCCCTCGGCCACCTTCTTCTGTAACTCCTCCATCTTGGCCATCATGGCCTCGTATTTGAGATCTGAATGAGGGGCGGAGGTGGTGGCGTGAGCTTTGTTGGACTCCATCTCGTCAAGCCGGCGTTGGAGGGCCGCAATAATCTCGTCCCGGGGGTCCTTCGGGAGGGTCTCCGCCCCCAGCAAACGAACCCGGGCCGAGTGGGCCTGGTTGATTTGGTGCCGAGCATCATCGGCATGAAGGGGTGCCTTGCCTTTGTCCCGAGGGGGACGCTCCTCGTCTGCCCTCGAAACGGATCCCCCGCTTTCCTGGGGCCTTTGGAGTGCTTCCCCACGAGGCGGTCTTGGACCCCTCGGCGGTCTGGCCCTCCTCCGAGCCGGTTGAGGGCGGAAGTACGGGGCCTTTCCCTGTTGTCATTATGGCGGTCCCGGGACTGAACTTCCTGGGAGGACGTATCTTGGGCCACCACCCCTTCGTCGTTTCTCACCCGAGGGGTGGGATTTCCGAAGGGGTGTGGTAGAGGGGGAAGTATGATATTTTCCCCGATCTGAGGGTGAGCTGGAGCCAGGGTGCCGAAGGCACCCGGGTTCTGGGTGAGCGTCTGGATGAAGGAGGAGAGCGCCGATTGCACGTCGATGGTGAGAACCGGAGGGCTGACTTGGTCATCGCTTCGGTTTTTCTTCTTGGCCTCGATGCCGAGGCGGGCATCGGGGGCATTTTGTTGGATCTGGAGGCGTAGGTCGACAGCCGCCTGTTCCAGCCCAGCGATGACACCGCCCTCGGGAGCCCTGTGAGAGGCTTCGGGGGCGTTGACGTCGCCGAGGGCCAGGTTCTTGTCTTCTACGTTCTTTGAGTTGGCACGTGTTGTCCTCACCATTTTGATAGAGGGCTAGTGTTTTGTGTTTGGTCGAGGGGGAGGGTTTCTTACTCGATTGTTCAACCTCTCAATGAAAGCACCAAATGATGGATAGTCTACCCGGGGGTATATATCCGAAGGGTTATTACGGGGAATAACTTAGAGAGAAGTCAGAGCAAGTGAGTAAAAGTAGAGAGAGAGTGTATTCAGTATGAATGCCGTTTTTCAGCGTGGTTACAAATGAGGAAATGGGGTGCTATTTATAGTAGCAATAAATGCCGGGCAGGGACACGTGTCAAGCGCTTATTGGCCGAGGGGTCATCTCAACTGGTTGGCGCTGGCAGCCGCATGTGGCCGCATTTATTGTGGCTGTTGGATGGGACGTCTGTGTGGGGTACGGTGATCTGTACGCATGTGAGGCGGATATCTTGTCGAGTGAGATGCCTTCGGCTATAGAGCAGTAGCCGAGGGCTCTTCCACCCGATGGCACCCTGGTGCCGAGGGCTCACAGTGCCGAGGGCTACTGTTTTCGCCGTTTTCTCCCAGTTTCTTAATTTGCTTGAGAAACCCGTTCTGTGAGAATTTGGAGCCTTCGGCCAGGGGGTCGAAGGCACCCCTGGCACGTTGTGCGGACTGCTTGGTACTCTGGGCGTTGTGATTTGGGCCTGTTGGGCCTGTTGGGCCTTCGCTGGAGTAGTAGGAGTCTGTGGGCCGGGGGTTCCCGGGCCATATACTCCATCAGGTGTAATACTTTATTTTCATATTTATTTATAATTTGTTTAGATTAGGACTTTTCTAAGCTAAACAAGTCAAAGATCATCCAAGGGATCAAGATTGGACCTTAAAAGATCAAGGAAAGTGCAAGGAGGCAAGAAAGATTTCGATTTGGAAAAAATACTCATGTACCCGGTCGGGTATTGCATATACCCGATCGGGAATTTGCTTGATTCGATTGTCCAAATCAAATCCGGGAACAAATGATCGTGGGAGCAAATTTTCGTAAAGATTCATCACATACCCGATCGGGTATGCCGACATACCCGATCGGGTATGCCCAGAAAAGTGAATTTCTGGGAAATTTCCTAAGATACCCGGTCAGGTATCCTATATACCCGGTCGGGTATCAGAACCCTGCAGCTCCCAAAAGCCTATAAATACACCCCTTTACTTCACAATAAAAGAACCAATTCACATATACTTCTTAGCTCAGTTTAGACAAGTTCTTTCTTTATATTTTCTTCACGTTTAGTCTCCAAATGAGGAGATAAACTCTTCCATCTTGGTTTTGCTACTTTGAAGCTTAATGAATTTGTAAGTTGTGAGTTATTCTCTTTAATTTTCTTCCTTGAATATTAATTCGTCCTTTAAATACTATTTCTATATCAATGTTGGGAAGTGTTACTAAGATGACAATTAGTTAACATCTTGACAGTAGTTATTGTAATAGTTATTTCTTCCTCTATGTTAATATTGGGGAGTGTTACTAAGATGACAATTAGTTAACATCTTGATATTAACTATAGTAGGATTCATACTCTTTAATATTGTTCCTTGAGTATTAACTGATTCCTATTCATATTTCATATTAATATTTTGAGCATTACTTAAAGGATCAACTAGTTTTGTTTCATATATTAATTATTACTAGAATCAATCGATTAGTACGCTTGTTATTAATTCGGTTCCTTCAACGGTAGTAAACTTGGATTATTAATGCATGCGTCTCATGGTTAATAATCTAAGGAGAATTAATTATATTGATTAAATCGATAAACCGCTTGTGTTGAGGTTATCAATCTCAATCGTTTTCATCTCAAGTTTATTGCTACTATCGTGTTAATATACGGCGCGTGTTCTATATTGGCTTGGTAGTAAGTTTTATTAATGAACGCGTCTCGTTATTAATAACTACCCTCGATGAACTGGATATACTCCTCGATTGAGTATTCGAGAGGAAGATAGTTAAAGATATAACCAGGATCGACGAACATTTCATTAAGTGGATAAAAGCAAAACCAAGTCCTCATCTCTATAAATTAAACTCATATAAGTCGTTTATCTTAGTGTTAATTAAATTAAATCAAATCAAACTTAAAACCCCCCTTGTTACTATTTATATAAAAGAAAAGTATTCCTTTCCCTGTGGATACGAACCTTACTTCACTATACTACGTATTAGTGTTGTATTGATAAATTATTTTGAGTGCACCTCACGACAAGTGCACGTCAAATTTGGCGCCGTTGCCGGGGAAAGGCAATTATTTTCTTTTATTTTAAATAAAAAAAATTAAAAAAAAATATATTAAAAAAATTACTTTTCTATTTTCTGAGCTTACATGAGTATATGGATACCAACACATCACCGTTAGAGAGTCAAATTTCCATTTTGGCTTCTCTCATCATGGAGTTTATCTTAAGCTCAGAAACTCAAGATGCCAAGACCTGCGATATTTGCATGTTTCACAGGCATATTGCGGATTTTTTCCCAAAGCTCCAAGAAGAATACCTTGCACAAATTAATTATGTACCTCACATGAGGTATGATCCATTCTCCAACTCTAACATGTCTACGGAGGACATGGTTCAGGCTCTTACTAACAGCGTGACCACCATGCAACAAAACATGGTGCAATTCCAAAATGAGACCAAGTCTAGCATTTTAAAATTGGAATCTCAAGGGAGTCAAATAGCTGGAGCCGTGAGTAGGCTTGAAGCAAGGAATTCGGGAAAACTTCCCTCTCAAATAGAATGTGATCCTAAACAGCAAACTTTTGCAATCACATTGACAAATGAGAAGAAAATGCAAGAGGAGATCCAAAATCCAGAAGAAGTAGAAGAAGAAAGAGACACGGAGCTCGAGCTGGTCAAAGAAGAGGATGAACCGTGTTTCAAGGTCAAATATCTATCCTTATCATTCTTTGAGGTACCCCCAACAGTTCTAAAAACTTCGAGGGAAACTCATAAAATTGAAAAGGATAAAGACATTTTTGAAATCTTCACCAAAATTAAGAGATCAAAACATTTTCCATTGATCATGTTAATCGATAATTTCTTTCCCTCACTCTCACCACATGAATCAATGGAAATCTGGATATTTGATCCTGGAAAGATTTTCGAAGTGAAGAGTCAAAATAATTATCATGATCCAAGCTTGAACGATTGAACACAATGATGGCATCGTGCCACGACGTTAAATGAGGCACTTCTTGGGAGGCAACCCAAGCAAAGGTACATATTCTTTTTCCCTTGTAGTTTTCATTTCAAAAAAAAATACCAGGGGCACCATACCCGATCGGGTGTTACGTACTACCCGGTCGGGTATAAACAAAAATATAAAGGGTGAAGCTCGGGTAACCAAATACTTGATCGAATCAGGGATGGAAAATTATGAAGTACCCGATCGGGCAGCTCCATATACCCGGTCGGGTATGTTAATTTTTTTTCTGGGAATATGTTCGCACCAAAACGCCCGATCGAGTATACCCCAACTCTATCGGGTAGGACCCCGGATTTTGAAGAAAGACAGGCATACCCGATCGGGTATGTCAGGGTACCCGGTCGGGTACACAATCTTTAAACCCGAATTAGCCACCCAAAACACCCATTTCATCTTCCCCAAACCTCCAATTTCGAAGTTTCTTTCTCCCTTTACTCCCTCAAATCTCCACCAAATCTTTCCAAACCAACGCCAAAATCTTCACCACATTTCCCTCTACACCCCATATCCATCAACACCACATTTTTCCCCAAAAAAACTCAAGTCCAAAAATAATGCCTTGTGCCCTCCCCCAAGTCCGAAATTTGGAACTCAAAATGCAAAGCATCAAGCGAAAATGGCACCAAAGAGAACAAGGGGCGAGAGTAATTCATCTAGAGCACCGATCAGCCCGGTTATGATGGAGACGAGCACTAGGGACAGTGCTTCGAGCTAGGTGAGGGGGGGTCACTCATCGGTGCGTACTTAAGTTTGATACCTTGTAAACTAGCATTATTTTCTTCGCAAAAAAAAATGAAATGCTAGTTAGGTTGAAAACCCGAAAAATGGGCAATCTAAGCAAAAAAGGCTTACAAAAAAACGATGAGCGAGTGGAGAGGTGGAAAAATAAAAGAGATGCTAGGATGAAAACCTGAAAAGACTCCTAGGCAAAATGAGAGATATGAGAGATATATTTGTTTTTACAGGACATCATTTAATCTCTTGAAGTTGAAAAGAGGAGATGAGCATAGAAGGCCATGAAACCCAAGAAGATATTATTCTTTGAGCTAAACACTCAATGTAAAACTCATATGTTATCCTTGGTGGTTTTTTGCTTTTTCTGGTTGATTGTTGAACTTTTGAGGACTTGGAAGTGTTAAAAGTTTGACTTTACTCGAGGACGAGTAAAGAAGCTAAGTGTGGGGGAGTTGATATTCATGTAATTTCCGATTGTATGTTTGTATTTTTAACTAGTTTTTATTAGTTCTAGTTGAGGAAATTACACACTTTTGGTGTAATACTTTATTTTCATATTTATTTATAATTTGTTTAGATTAGGACTTTTCTGAGCTAAACAAGTCAAAGATCATCCAAGGGATCAAGATTGGACCTTAAAAGATAAAGGAAAGTGCAAGGAGGCAAGAAAGATTTCGATTTGGAAAAAATACTCATGTACCTGGTCGGGTACTGCCTATACCCGATCGGGTATTTGCTTGATTCGATTGTCCAAATTAAATCCGGGAACAAATGATCGTGGGAGCAAATATTCGTAAAGATTCGTCACATACCCGATCGGGTATGCCGACATACCCGATCGGGTATGCCCAGAAAAGTGAATTTCTGGGAAATTTCCTAAGATACCCAGTCGGGTATCCTATATACCCGGTCGGGTATCAGACCCTGCAGCTCCCAAAAGCCTATAAATACACCCCTTTCCTTCACAATAAAAGAACCAATTCACATATACTTCTTAGCTCAGTTTAGACAAGCTCTTTCTTTATATTTTCTTCATGTTTAGTCTCCAAATGAGGAGCAAAACTCTTCCATCTTGGCTTTGCTACTTTGAAGCTTAATGATGTTGTAAGTTGTGAGTTATTCTCTTTAATTTTCTTCCTTGAATATTAATTCTTCCTTTAAATACTATTTCTATATCAATGTTGGGAAGTGTTACTAAGATGACAATTAGTTAACATCTTGACATTAGTTATACTAATAGTTATTTCTTCCTCTATGTTAATATTGGGGAGTGTTACTAAGATGACAATTAGTTAACAGCTTGATATTAACTATAGTAGGATTCATACTCTTTAATATTCTTCCTTGAGTATTAATTGATTCCTATTCATATTTCATATTAATATTTTGAGCATTACTTAAAGGATCAACTAGTTTTGTTTCATATATTAATTATTACTAGAATCAATCGATTAATACGCTTGTTATTAATTCGGTTCCTTCAACGGTAGTAAACTTGGATTATTAATGCATGTGTCTCATGGTTAATAATCTAAGGGGAATTAATTATATTGATTAAACCGATAAACCGCTTGTGTTGAGGTTATCAATCTCAATCATTTTCATCTCAAGTTTATTGCTACTATCGTGTTAATATACGGTGCGTGTTCTATATTGACTCGGTAGTAAGTTTTATTAATGAACGCGTCTCGTTATTAATAACTACCCTCGATGAGCTGGATATACTCCTCGATTGAGTATTCGAAAGGAAGATAGTTAAAGATATAACCGAGATCGACGAACATTTCATTAAGTGGATAAAAGCAAAACCAAGTCCTCATCTCTATAAATTAAACTCATATAAGTCGTTTATCTTAGTGTTAATTAAATTAATTCAAATCAAACTTAAAACCCCCCTTGTTACTATTTATATAAAAGAAAAGTATTCCTTTCCCTGTGGATACGAACCTTACTTCACTATACTACGTATTAGTGTTGTATTGATAAATTATTTTGAGTACACCTCACGACAAGTGCACGTCACATGCCCTCCACATGGAAGCCAAAAACTACGGCAATAGAGGAAGCTAAAGATCTCTCCACCATGACGCTAGAGGACTTGACCGGTTCACTCATGACATATGAGTTAGGTCTACAAGAAGAACAAGATGCCGAAAATGTGAGGAAGGAGCGAGGAATCGCTCTCAAGGCTCGAGAGGAAGAAGAAGAATCCGAAAGTGAATCGGAAGACAAAATGAGCATGTTTGCCAAGCAATTCAGAAAGATGTACCGGAAATTCAAAGGCAACCGGAATAAGCAAGGTAAAAAGGGTTTTCAATCTTTTAATAACCAAGGTTGTTTTGTTTGTGGATCCTTTGAGCACAGGGCAAAAGATTGTCCCCAAAAGAAAAATGACAGAACCTATGACAAGAACAAGACCAGCTCCCACCGGAGGTCCAGTGAAGACAAAGGGTTCAACAGAGACCTCGAGAAGGCAATGATGGCAGCTTGGGGAGACTCATCCGATAATGATGAGGATGAAAGTGTAAAGAGTTCCAATCACGCAGGGTTGTGCCTCATGGCTAATTCCGACGAGGAATCCGGTCATGAGAACTTTGAGGTAAACTTAGAAAACTTTCTATCTAAGTTTGACTCTCTTTCTAAAGGCAAGGTTTGGAAAATTTTTAAAAGATTAACTATATATCAAGCTTAATCAAAGTCTTTCTGAAAATGTCCATCTTAAATCACAAATCACTGAATTTGAGTCTAAACTCGAGGAAGCCACTAGAACCAAGATAAGGCTGGAAACAAAACTGGAAGAGTTAATAGATGAAAGGCTTAATGACAGTGAGGTGGTTCTAGAACAAGATAATCTCATTTGCTCACTCAAGCTCGATAGTATGAATAAACAAGTTAATGATGAAGAAAAACTTCTAAGAAAATTCCGGACATTGCCTTGCTCATTAATCATCTTAATCACCTTGAGGCTGAGAGACAAGATTTCAAAAATAAACCGGAATACCAGCTGTATAGTACCAAAGAAAGAACCAGGTCTAGACCCTATTCTACAACTGAACCCTCTCGATACAAAAGAAAGGAAATCGAGACTGGTGGTCTCGGATATGTTCCAAGGGAAACTCAAATAAATCAAAAATCTGGTTTTCAGAACCAATCCTTTAACGGTAACAGAACTAGAGGACAAACCAGTTCCAGGCCATACCAAAGGCAATCTAGAACTGGACCAACCTGGTTCGATAAATTGGTTCAAAGGCACAAAACTGGTTATGGACAAACACCTAACCGAGAGTTTAATAAAAGGGACAAAGATTTTTATGGAAATTGGAAAACCAAATACGTTGATACATATGATAGCCGAATTTGTGGGCATTGTGGCAAAGTCGGTAATCTTTAGGTATCAATGTCACTCTCGGCAACATGCCTTAGAAAGGAGCTTTAATTATAGTAAATATTCCTCAAACAATTCCACGCACTAACCCTTAATCCTGGAACATCGCCGAGTGAGGGGGAACAACCACTGGTTCCTTGACAGTTGGTGTTCTAAGCACATGACGGGAGATAAATCATTATTCCTCTCACTGCGGCCATTTAGCGGTGGAAGGGTGACATTTGGAGACAACGGTAAAGGAGAAATAATTGCTATGGGAAAAGTTGGAAAGTCACCTAACCATGCAATTGACAATGTCTTTCTAGTCAAGGGTTTAAAGTTTAATTTGCTAAGTATTTCTCAATTTTGTGACAGAGGTAACAGTGTAGTTTTTTATCATAATGTATGTCGCATTGTTAATAACGAATCACAGCAAGTTATACTAGAGCGCAAGAGACTAGAAAATACTTATAAGGTTGATCTTGATTTATTGCCAAATATAAGTCTAACTTGCCTGAACATTATTGACAATGATCCTCTGCTATGGCATAAAAGGCTTGGACACGCTAGTTTTTCATTAATAAATAAACTCAAAAATAATGATTTGGTAATTGGGCTACCTAATATAAAATATTCACTTGATCATATTTGCTCCGCTTGTGCCACTGGAAAACAATCACGATCATCTTTTAAAACAAAGAATTTGGTGAGTACAAGCAAGCCCATATAACTAATTCACATGAATTTGTGTGGTCCAATGTCAGTCCGTAGCCGAGGAAATAAAGAACATGTTTTAGTTATTGTTAATGATTTTTCAAGATATGCTTGGACTCTCTTTCTTGCAAGCAAGAAAGATACTTTTAATGAGTTTGTTGTTTTTGTAAGGAAAGTTGAACATCAAACAGGACTATAATTAATCAAGATCCGATCGGATCATGGAACTGAGTTTGACAACTCACTATTTGATGCATTCTGCAAGGAACGAGGCATAAACCACAACTTCTCTGCCCCTAGAACTCCTCAACAAAATGGGGTAGTAGAACGTAAGAATATAACTCTGGAGGACATGACTAGAACAATGATAATTTCCAGTGGTCTGACGAGAAACTTTTGGGCAGAAGCACTTTTGGAAAAAAATCAAGAATTTTTACAAACTTGACCATTTACTCTTTTTTTACATATACCATGTCGCAGTATGTGCATGCTAAAGTTTTTTGAACTCAAATAACATGTCCAAAGTTATTGAGCCTCAAGAGTTATTCTTTTAATAATTTTGGGATGAATTTGTTTTGCAAGCATTTTTATTTACCATTTATGTGTACATGTATTATGATATTGAGAGGAGCTAATTTAATGAGCATAATGTTGGAAAAAGTGTGTTAAAAGTGTATTAAATGGTCATTTTGGGGCAATTATTTGAGTGGGGTCCAACGTTTTGGGTTGTTTAAGGACTGGAATCAATGCCCAATACTTAGGACATTGATGTCCAACGATCATAACCCTTAAACAGCCATTAACACACCTTAATCCACCCCTATAAAAGGCTAGTAGGTGCTTTGCAAAGACACAACCTTTCATACACTTCGTTCACGTATTTTCATAGCTAAAATAGCACCTCTAGCACTCCATACAAACTCCTTCGGTGTTCTGCTTTTGTTCACGTTCGTTGTAACTTTAGTTTGAGTGCTAAACTATTGTTCGAAGTCATCGTATCCTGGGAAACGATCGTTGCAACGCTCCTAGCACCCCGGGAGGCAACGAATACGTTTTAAGGAAATCGTGCGTAGCACGAGCTTTGGCTTATTCTGCTTCATCTCATTTCTTGTTTTTCTTTAAGTCATTTTATTTAATTAATCTTTATTAATTAATTTTCTTTGTTTTTCGAAACACACCCAACAATCTTAAAACGTATTCGTTGATTGTTCTACTACGGTAAACAATCTTAAAACTTGTACTTTGTCACCTTGGTGAACGAACTTGTTTTTTTGTGCTTTCGAATAACGTAAGAAACGAAAAATGACTTCTCAAGAAAATGAAAATGTTGTTGGGCAGAATGCTTTGAACGGTTTGAACGATAATCACTCTG